ATATATATATATATATATATATATATATATATCTGTGTGTGTGTGTGTGTGTGTACATATAATCATGGTATATTTTAATTATTTTCTCTTTCATTTACCACGCTTCTTTCTCATTCGGCTAATAGCAACAAAAGAAAAAGGAGATCAAGAAGAAGAATTTCACTAATTTTTTTTTTCAAACTTGGCTTAAGACATTAGCGATCATTTATTAAACAAAATGGACTCCGTCTGTCTCACTTACTGGATGTATATAGGTTAACAGCTGTTTTATAGTCTAATTGGTTCTGTTAAAAATCTAAACTAACAGGAAATGTTTATATAAGGACAATGTGCATTCCCACGGAGAGAAAAAAGGACTTATTCGTTATAACGGAACAGGAGTAGTTTGTTAATCAAATACTCACTTTATAATATGTTATAACAAAAAATATAATGGAGTGTGCTGGTACAAAGCACTAGCTTGAAAACTGCAACTTTAATTAGAACCAAAACACCAGGCGATGAAAGCGAGTAGCTTTGTGCAAGCATTCTTCTAGATAACCATCTTGTATAATTTTAGCATTTCAAAGCAAATCAGTGCTTCTCTTAAAAAAATAAAAAAACCCGCGTGTGTTTATAGCGAACGTGACGATTGTACTACTATACTCAAAAGTACAGATTAGGGTTGACTCTCTCTTTAATATTATCTACTTTTTTGAGGCCTACTTGCGAGTTGTTCTACTTTTTTTTTTTATAAGATACCAATCAGTTTGAGTAGAGCTCACACTTACCACAGCACACTAACGGTTACTGATATAAAATATATACATAGTTACTTACATATCGGGTTCCTTTCCTTGTCTTCATTGTACGTAAAAACAGCCCCTTTACTGACGATGTCAGGATTTATATCCTCTTCTGTTAGGTCTGCAAGATGGAGAAAAAAAAAAGTGTTATAAAGACGAATGCTTTTCAAAGTACAAAGCTACACAATGGGTTATCTGAGTTGTGCCCATTGTGGGTATCAAACCCTGAGTTTTTGCGTTATAATGTCTCGATGCTACTGCTTAGCCATGCACCGGGTGAACCGAAGAAAAATGAAAAGGATTCGTTTATTGTTTATATATATATATATACTATACCACATGTATTAATTAGAATAGTAACCGTAAATTATTTGAGTCAAGATTCTCATGACCATAACTTGAATATAATGTATTTTATTTCATCAAAACAAAACTGAATACAATGTCAATTATTTAACTCCTTTACTGTAAAAAATTCCAAATAATTCCTAGCTAGCGGACCTGTAGACGAGCCCCCCCCCCCAGTGGCACAGCGGACTTAGAACGCTAGAAACCGGGGTTTCGATGCCCGTGGTGGGCAGAACACAGATAGCCCATTGTGTAGCTTTGTGCTTAACTTCAAACAAACGAAACCTGCAGACGTTTCTTGTCTGAGTATCTTAGGAGAAACAAATTTTCTAAGGGGATTTTAAGATTATCATTCCTACTGTTAAATGAGAACTTTAATATTTATAAGTAATTGTCAGAAAAAGAATTATCGTTTTGAGAATTTTTAAACAAATTAGAACCCTCTGAAATGGGCCATACTTTTAATCAATACCGAAACGGCTTCTTTATCGAGATCTCAAAGCAAACGATCCACACTAAATTAATTTGAATAAAATTGATTTTATTATTCTAGTGTGGTATTATTTTTACGCTTTTAAACATTGCACTTAATGCACAATCATAACTGGTTCAATCTTAAATTTAACCTAAAAAAAGACAGGTTATAGTACGGTAATAATAAGCCTTTTTCCTTTCCATGCTAAAACTTACTTTTATTCGTTCATATTCTACAGTTTACTGCAATTATTAGAGTTCATATTCTACAGCAGTGGTTCTTAACCTTTTTTGCTCCATGGCTCACATCGACACCTCAAAAAGTTGATGCCCCTTAATAT